AACCCGTTTTCTATAATTCGAAAATAGTCCCTTAAAATAGAAAACAGAAAATGGAAACGCAAACCAACAACACCCTTAGCCTTATCTTTTTGAACACCTTTGGTACTCATGTGATGTTCAAAAGAAGGGGGGGCGGGGTGCAATTATACCGTCTAAGATGATTCCCAATGGTTTGTATCATATTTGATGTAGCTTTACATCAAATTTGTTGCACTTTGGTGTAATCTCTCCAAATTTTACACCAACTTAATGTAAAAGTTACACAAATTTTGGTGTTACTTTAAAACTGTTTAATTAGAAATTATATTATTACTAAAATAGTTAAATTAAAAATAATATCCCCCCTTTGACCCTCATTATTTGAAATTCTAATATTTGAAATAATATATTTTTAAAATGCGAGATTAAAAAAGAAAGAATTTTTTTAAATTACATGTAATATTATTTTATTGGATAATATGTGATTGATAAGAATGAAGAAAAATGAATTATCATTTTAATGGAGCCAAAAAGTGGCTTTTAATGAAAAATGTCAATTTATTGTATCAATAATTATTCCAGTATTAATTTATTCTTAACTTCTATTTGTCAAATTTGTAACTTTCGAGTTTTTAATGAATGATTTTTAATTTATTATATCAATAATTATTAATCTATCAAAATTTAAAAATAAATGTTAAATGAAAATAACCATAACATTAAAGAATTATAAATAAATTAATAGATATTAATTCTAAAAGAACAAAATGATATAGATGGAATAAAAAATTGTTACAAAAGGGAAGAGATGGCAAAATGGGAAATTTATAGAATTACTCTAATTTAACACTATTCATCACATTAAATAAATAAATAAATACCCAAAAAGAATCCTTCAGCCTTCTTGTAAGGAAGGGTAAACCCAAAAAACGGTGAGATTCTCATTAAAGAAATCGAATATTTAAGAAAGGTCGAAAAAGAAATCGAATATTTTTAAAAGTAGACGAGAAAATAACGAAAAACCATAATAAATCAGATTCTCTGTCTGGCCTTTGCAATTTCCTCTATAATCTCCGTCTTTACTTAGCTCACCGAAATCTTTGAATCTTCTCTCGATTGCGAGTTGTGATTTTCGCCTGTCAAGCGGGTGCGTAGGGGTTTTTATACTAATTTAACAGCTTCGTCCTTTTCTATAATATTTTGAATTGTAAGTACGGGTACATGCGTTTTTATTGTCTCAACTTTTAATCTTGGTTGTATTTTTTAGTTATCCCCTTTTATGATTATCATATATAATTTGTTGAATCTGTCTCTCATTTTTCGGATTTGATTTGTTTATTGTTTTATTATGAAATCCTCGTCATAAATTTGTCTGAATTCTTGCAGTTATCTAAATTTTGAAGTCTTTCAGTGAGCAAAAGTTGATAGTTGATGGAGGACTGGGGTAATGTTTCATTCTTTCTCTCTTTCTTCCTCGTCTTGGGCGCCATACTTAGTTTTTTCCCCTTACTCTATGACTTTAGATTCTTATAAACATACGTCAATGAATATATTAGTTTTTTTTCCCTTTTACAAGAAATTGGCTATTAAATTCGGTCTATTTTCGTAATTCATAAACGTGTATTTTGTTGCTTAATTAGTATGGGTTCAATGGTATCAGATTTGTGGCTTTTGGTTGGCAATAAATAGAAGTCCTTCAGAGGTGTCTTTTGGTGTAATCAATGCGTTGTGGTACTTATATGTCTTCTGATTTGGAAAATGACTGAAGTCCCTTCTACCAAACTTTCATGGGTTTTGATTAGGAAAACAAGATAAATCCCTTCTACGCACTCTGATCAATTTGGCGTCACATTGTGTATGAAAAGCTAAATTAAGATGTTGTTAGCTTTGACTATGAAGCATGCTTTCAAATTTGCGTAGTCTACGTTATTCATTTTTGGTTTATTAAGGGTTTGTAATGATATTCATTCTCCTCATCAAATTTATCCAAAGTTCTTTAGGTAGACAAGTTTTTGAATGCCAACGTATTTGATAATTCAGAGGACGAGACAATTCCAGATCTTCTCAAAAAGGAGCAACTAAAGAGTAACTGGGATGATGAAGATGTGGATGATAATGATGTGAAAGAATCTTGGGAAGATGAAGATGAACCTGCACCAGTATATTTGCTGATAGTTTAACTTTATCACTAAGCTGGCTTACATTAAAATTTCATTTAGAGAAAAATATGCAATTTTGTTCTAGATTATGAATGCTGTGTATTTCTTCACTCGTCTTTGATTATTATTATTATTTTTTTTTTTTTTTGTCTTAGATATATGTTGCATGTTTAATTGGCAAAGAGAGGGTAAGGGTACATATATAAACTTGATTTCAGCATTGTGCTGCCCACATTTTGAATAATGCTCCTGACAGCATCTTACATTTTTTAATGGAAGTGTAAAGACGTCATCTATTGACGGTACATGTATGATCTGATTCCTGTGGATTGTTCCATGAGAATTCCTGAAGAACGTATAGTCTTACTAATAACATTTTTATCGCTGACGATCTCTTAAATTAATATGCTACAAATTTAATGCACAGGCAGTTTGAAGGCATACACTCATCTTATTTCGATGTTACATTTCATGTTTAATTGCTTTCTTTTTCTTTTTCTTTTTTTTGTCAAAATGCCTGATAATAATAATATATTACCAACTATTGACACATGATAGCAAATGACACGTGGTGGGATGAGCATAGAGGTCATCCTTTTTATTTTAATTATCAAAGGAAAAATATTTTCCTATGTTCAATAGTGTAAACCGGGTAAATCTGGATTGTGGTCTTTTTACTCCACCAGGCGAGGCTAGACATAAGCCTCAAGGCTCTTTGCAACTAGAAAATTAGAACATTTTTAATTAAATTAAAAGTCTAATATACAACAAGAAACATAAAATTGATCGCCAAAGTTGTATATTAATTGAGTAGGATTTGATAACAAGACCGCTAATCATATCTAGAACTAAAAGTCTAACATGATGGAGCTGGCCATTTAGTTGAAGAAACAGGAAAAATTAAAACACAGAGATACAGGCAAGAAACATCTAAAAGAAGAAGGAAGTTACTTGTAGCAGTCTCACCACTGGCTGTTTGTCGCTGCTAAAACGTTGTAACTTTACTTTGGAGGGGGTAATTGCCCTTCAGTTGTCAGAATACGGGCTACAGCATACTTGTCTCTTCATTTCTTTGAAGCCCTAATTTTTCACATCTTTTTCTACTAGTTTTTAGGGTTGTGCTTTTTTTTTTTTAAAGCAACTCTGGAACCTCTCAAAATGTTATCAAGTAAGAAAAAAACAGCTTTGGCCAACGTAAAATGCTGAGGCAATGAGAAAAGGAAATAGCATATGCCTCAATTGTTTGAAGACGTTAATGTTTAATAAAGATTGGTGTCTTTGACGATAGTTATTTTATATTATCTCTAGTTCTTTCATCTTTATAAATAAACTTCTTGATTAGCTGGTTTCTTCTTCCTTTTAGAGTTGAAATTGCCAAGTTTTGACAATTGATGGCGAATAGCTTTTCAGAAAATGGCAAATTATTCAGTCTTTTTCTCTTGCTTGATCAGGACCCTGTATTTTAACTAGAATATTTTCCCTTTTGTGGATTGTATTTAATGGTTGTGCTGACTAAATGTAGAAAATTTAGTTGACGTTAAAATTTGTTGGGAGTACCGTTTAAGGTACGTATGTGCAGTTGATGTTGTTACGTATGTGCAGTTGATGTTGTTGTTTCTAATCTTTTACTGAATATAATGTGCTTCATTCTTATGATGTGGTTAGGGCCCCAAAGCAGAACCTCTTCCTGATGTCTCAGAAAAGCCTACAGCAAAATCAGATGACAAGAAAGGGAAAGCTGTTGCTGTTGAAGCTGCAACAGATGCACCCTTAGATCCTGTACAAGAAAAACTTCGCCAGCAGAGGTGGGAATTGATTATTTTTATTTATGCTAAGATTTTGATGTCTGAAAAAAGTTGTCATATTCTATGAAATAGTTACTCTAGGTAACCTTGATGCTTACAAAATATAACTTATGAAGATCAAGCAAATCAACTGGAAAATAAGCATCTTCCTATTATAGGCTAATATTTCTTACTCAAGTTATATTTTCTTCCAGTCTAAGTCTTCCTGCTTCCAGCTGATGTGGTTTATCAGATTCTTTGCATTCCTGAACATATATATGGGTGTATTTACCCTGAAGTTATTATTGCCATAACCATAATTTTCTGCTATGTCTGCTTTCTTCATGGTGTCAAACTTTCCCTTCACCCATTCTTATTCTGTCTCCTTATTTTATTGTTTTCCTCCCTAAGAATAGGGTGGAAAGGTTTAAATTAATGTTGGGACATAGTCTGCAACTATGCATTGATTATTGGACCAGATGGAAGTTCACGAAAGCAATAAACAATGTTGGTTGAATTTGGATTGTAAGATGGCAAAGACTGGGACCATTTTTCTATGTATGGCTGTCTCTTTTTACTACTATTTTTTGTCCAGACACGTTTCTGACTGTTCATTGTTGAATAAAATAGGTTAGTGTTAGAACAATGAATGGGCCGTGTAATCTCATTGAAAAAGCTGTTCAAACTGTATCTATCTGAGTACAAATAAATATCACTAGAAATCCTCAATGGGCGATAAATTATGTCATTTCTTCTGATCATGTAGTGAATGGCTACTTGATAATTTTATTTTGGTCTTTGCTTCATTGTGATTGATGGTATGGGTATTACTCCTCCCTTTTTGTTTCATAGGCTTGTCGAAGAAGCTGATTACAGGTCCACTACAGAGTTGTTTGCTAAGGCGGATGATGAGAAAACTCTTGATAATTTTATTCCCAAATCCGAAAGCGACTTTTTAGAATATGCTGAACTTATTGCCCATAAGCTCTGTCCATATGAGGTTTATCAGATTTGCTTTGCCTGTATTTATATTTTTATTTGGTGATTTGTAGTCTTGACTATAATGATTTGGCTATTGCTTTTATTGCAGACTCGTTGTATACTTGGACGCATCTGTTTGTTTTATGAATTAAGTGCCACATCATTTTTAGTTCTAGAGAAGAAAGCCTATTTTTCATTTCATTTTGTGGTTGGAGATCAGTCATATTTCTGGCCCTATTTGTATTCCTATTTTTTTGAATCCAAGAATTTGAATATTGAGACAATACTTCATTTGGTATGGAAAATAATTATTCTTCTACTGCAAAGCTGTCATGGATATGAACTCAATTTTTGTTTCTATATATTTTGAGCTGATAGGAGAGATTCCAGTCACCTGATTACTTAGGCTCTTCCGCAGGTTTATATGCCAGTTCAAACACGGACAATAACAATTTCACACAGTTTACTGTTCCTTCTGTCGACTGAGATTTTCACAGGATGGACGTTAAAACAATAATTGACATAAAAGTAAGTTCGACTTTTATGATTAACCAAACATGCTCTTAAAGTTCATCTCCTTCAGTTAGGATAGTGTGACTTCCATCCTCGTAGGAATAGCTTGTCATAAAATTAGCAGGCGCTGAAAATTTATTGTCAAAATGGAAAAAATAAAAATCTCACTAAACAGCCAGAAAGTGTTGCATTCAAATTGCTCAAGAGTCTTCAGCAGACTCAGGTTAGCCGATACTCCAGCACTATGGAGGCTTGGCAGTGCCACAATTTGCCATATCTATCAATCATCCAATTCAGTAATCTGAGCTCTTCTCTCGGCGGCTTTCTTCCTGATGAAGATGCCCCACCTCAGAGCTGCTTTGAGTTTGAGCCACCCAACAACAGCTTTGCCAGACGAACGTGTTCTATTCTCCTTAATACGATAGTTAGAAGGCACGTCAGGGTTGAATGCGTAGTTATACTCGTTGCCATTAAAGGGAGCACGACCATGGCCATCCATACTAAATACACGAAGCATATGCTGCATGTCTTCGTTTTCCAGCATCTCGTGACTTCTTATGCGAATTTCATCCTCTGGGCAGAAATCCTCATATCCTCTATAAGAAATAAGATTTGATGTGTTACCAACATGGAAGTTTTGCACAGTTGACTTTGACGGACCAAGTGCTAGCACATTCTCACTTCCAGATGGATGAGCTGCTAGTGCCGTGTTGATAGGCTGGTCATGTGGATGGAATGAAGTGTTGTCCAACTGAATGGCGGCTTTGAAGTTCATGTTTTGTGATTGCATCTGATATCTGCTGCCGGTAGTGTCATTATACCCTAGTGGAAGGCAGAACATTCTTAAAAGTAAGCAAAGTGCACATGAAATATGCTTAAAGGCAGATAGTAGAGCATTTTGAGAGAAGCTTATGATTATAGCCAAATAGGACTTAAACCCTTACAACAGATATGTTTGCTTACGAGAATTCTTGAAACTCATTGTGAGATAATATGTTGGCATGTATATGGTTATTATAGTCGTATGAAGCTTTTAAACTTTTCGCTGTAATTTTTCTTTTAATCAACTTTTTATATTTATTTTCCTGAACTATATTTTATATCTCTGCAACTCATGATCTCCAAACTAATACAGACAGAACCTCCCAAATGTCATTTGTAGGTATCAAATTATATTATTGGGCATAATATAATCAGGCATCCATCTCGTCTTTCTTTTTTCTTTTTCTTTTGGCCAAAGATCGACATTTTTACCAGCATTTCAAGTGACAAATAGGTACCTCCCATACTCAATCCAGAATTCAGATCCATAGAAGGATGCTCAGCAGGAATACTTTGTCGTCTGAGCTGATCAAAACAGCTTGGCTGATTTTTTGGATCAATCTGTGAACCAACAGAACCTTTATTTTCATCAAAGCCCAGGAGAGACTTGCCATCATATTCTATAACATGCATCCAATTGTCATATGCTTTCTTTACCAGAGTGTCGACAAACTCCTGCAATATGAAACGGAAAGGTGTCTAGTCAACTCTTTTCAATTTGAGAGAACAACAGATTCCTTTTCCCGAATCCTATGCCCACTGAAGGACAGAAGGAGCAAAATTGAAGCATGATATGTAAAGTGGAAAGAGAGAGTGTAAAATCATCTGCATATTCCAGTCTGTAATCAGAATTTTATCTCGTCTTGGCATAATAGTATAGTTGAATACTAAAATCTGACATGCACAAATACTTAGCTAACAAAGTCGAAAGTGTGCAATGGGGAATTTACAGAATAAATCAATATTGAGGAATTTGTACTGGTTTTTGATGTAAAGAAAGTTACAGTGAAATTCATTGAGAATAAGACGAAATATAAATAATGATTATTCAATCATAAAGGACTACCAACCTTCTGACTGTCAGAAAGAGAATCAACTGAATGATATTGTCCACCAGCGATTAGACCACTAAATTCATAGATATTGTTAAACACCACACTAATATTCTTCAGCTCATCAGGATAGTAGACATAGAGTTTTCCAGTTAGGACACAGGTCTTTGCATGCTCTAGAAGAACATCCCACATCTTATTCGACATTCCACTTCCCAATATCTAAGAAGAAAATCCATAATCAGATGAACAGAAAGAAACAGCTAATGAACCAATTTTTGAACAGGACTATTAATAAGACTTCTTACACTCCGAAGCCTTTTAGGGTCTCTCACTACAAGACGCAGAAAATCTTCTACTGTGAATATTCCAGCTTTATTAAGCCTCTTGTGGAATGAACCATCTTTCCCAATCTTTTCCAATCTCCAAACTTCATCATTCAGTGCAGGTGGGTAATGTTTTTTGTACACTATAAAACCAGAAATTTAATGACTTATAACCGAACCCACAGACAACAGATATTATTATTGTAAATATTTGACAGGACATGTACTTACACTCTCCTCTGTGATCCTTGACAGTGAAGGCATCTGTTTTTGCTTCACGGATATTGAAAAGCTCACAATAACTAGATGCAACTTTCAAACCTAGTCTAAACTTTCTACTCCTGATCCAACTAGAGTTGTCTGTAAACGTCAACTCCCCAAGGGTTCCTACACCTTCCTTCAACGTCACTTGTAAGTCCCCAGTTAGAAGTGGCCTCTTTCCTTCCCGCTCTTTCACTATATGAGACTCAAATTCTTCTGGAGTCCACCCCTCTTCATCCTCATTGTTAAAATCACCTTCAAGCACAACCACATCTAATTTAATTGAGGATTCTGGACCTGATGTTACAACGTGGCCTGTGATTGCATCAAGCAAGACAACAAGTATTGCACCCTGCTCTCCCTCCACTTTTCCTCCGGTAAAGAGAGGTAGTGACAACTTGGACCTGAAGTGCAACTGCAGATTTCTTCCATCGGGCCCTTCAATTCTTTTTGGAGAAACCCTGCTTGTTAACAGAGAAATTCAATATAAAGTGGTAAAGATAGCGAATATGAAGGGAGCTTCAGTGATTAACCCAACAAGTTGCTCATGCAAGTAGATTGCAGGGCCTGTTTAAAATCATCTCATGCTCATCTTTTTCACTATGCTAGACTAGGAAAATCTTAGTTTTCCATCCAATTTTCATACACAGACAGGTTACACCACTCCTATTATTGGTTTTCCACCTGTGTAATAGGAGGCGAGGCCTTAGGTCCATTCCATTTGTAATGTATTTAATAAGAATAGCATGATCCGTCTACATCTACTGTAAAAAAATGGTTTTTCTGAAAAAGAAAAGATACTTGTCCACAAATGTTGCAAATAGTTGGAATAATGGCCACAACCTTGTACTTCAAATTGGTTGACAAATGCAACTACTTATATAAAGTGGCCAAAAGGACAACTTAGTGTGCAGCTAACTGAAAATTGATAGGAATGATATCGATGCCTAGAAAGAGGAAAAAAATGGAATTTAAGGCAGCGGCTTACTACAATAGGTTAAGTCGTACCTTCCATTAAGATTGGCGGGAACTAACTTTGCTAAAGCACGTTCAACTTCTTCGCTCACCTGGTCAGCAGAAAGACAAGCGTACATAAGTTGGAACCCATTAGAAGTGTTAAAGCATCATAAGCAATGGACTAAGAATACCAACAAATTTGTGCTGCAAATTAAACTGAGAAATCAAGAGCAGGAGATTCCTCGGTTCACAGAATCCAAATTGTGAGAAATAACAAGCACATTATTGATTAACAGAGGCATAATATTTAAAAACCCCAAGAACATTCTAAATGGACTGTTCATATTAGTTTACAAGAAATTTTCCAAAAACAATTTGACAAGCATGCCCCTCTCATCATTGAGTATTATTAAAGCAGAAAGGAAATAAACTCTGATGGAAGATTTATCTTTGCTATCAACTAATTTGATGAAGAGATTTAGAAGAGCAAAAAACAACATGCTTCTAAACTGGAATATGGGATTTGATGCATATACATTGAAGTAAATTGGAATAATTTCAAAAGCAAATACAATGATGAGAACAATCTCCCTGCATGTATGATACCTCTGATTTCACTTGTTTCATTGTGCGTTAGCACCATGTTCACAACAAACTCATACGCAGGGATATATGAAATATACAAGGAGAGAATGACAATACAATCTATAATGAGAAGACACCAGGCAACGTGCATTTCAGATAGTAACGGGTATGGTGCATAATAGAACATCACATACGACCGATATTCTTTTTATATGTAATAAAATATTATATCATGAGTCAAAACTCCTTAAGGAAGCATTAAGGAGTTGTCATTTTATTGGCTCTCCTAGAAGTTCAACATAAACATTGACGAGTGAAAGAACTCTTGAAATATTTTCATTTTTTGACAAGTAACTGCAATTGATTTTAGAGTTTAAGATAAACTCTTTCTATGAATTTATCTGCAGAAATAGTTAAAGAGCATGGAGCATTTTTCTAACAACCAATGAAAGGTGGGTGAGATCGGACATTTTTTTGCATATAATCGAATGCATCACTTTTGTTTATGTGGTCAGATGTTCTCAGAAACAAAAAAAAAATCAATAGAAAGACTAATTATCTTACAACTCTCCGAAGAACTGGTTCCAGGGATGAACAAAGTTTCTGTAGACTGTCCACCTTCAGTGCTTCAATAATAACACTGCATCGACGGGTATATTTCTTAAGAAATAGCTTTGTGATCAAGCATAAAGAAGAAAGCATGAAGAGAGCTTCAAGAGTGAAAATACTTGACTTCCCTGAATATATTTATAACAATGAGAACTATATTGTACAGGATATGTTTTTCTCGTTTTCAATTTTGCTGAAGGCCTCGTATGTGCTGACAAAAGGGGCAGATCACAAAAATTCACTAGAGGCTGCAGGAGTGTATCTACCCAGATTAGCTTATTTGCAGCATTGGGTTGATTTTACTATTAATATAAAGATAATAACAAACTTAAGAACGAAACAACTTAGTACACTAAGGATGAATAAAGCGTAATATGATATATTGACTACACATATAAGATGTCTAAAGTTAATCTCCAAGCACAAGACCACTTAACCAGCATTTAGGTATGAAATAAGAAGTCAATGCACCCGCAATGGGAGAGTTCTTTCAAAACAATGTGGATGACAGCTATAGACAATTACACGGTTCAACTAATAGAGAGAGTTTGCAGACAACTTAATGCTCAAGGACATTATTCAATCTTTTGGATAGAAGCTTGTCAATTATATAAAATGGAGTCCTATGAGTGCCAAAGGTGTTTTTGTGAGAAACTCAATGTCTTGGAAGAGACATAGAGTTATCTGTTCGCCTATGTTTCCCTATAAATTATGCAAGTCTCTGACAAGTACAAGAGAAGAATCCATCTCACATAAACATGAGTATAGCTGATCAACCATCCATGATTAAATTCACAGGACAATATTAATAGATGAAATTATATCAGAGCACATGGAGGCTCCAAAGCTTGAGTAGTTTAGTTTTCTGTTTATCTTCTTGATTGGTTTTGAAGCTTTATGGAGAAAAGTTGATATGGCGCTTCTCAGTTTTTAACACTTCCACTCTCATTCCCTTGCTCCCGACAGGAAGTAAAAGTTACACCTATGTTTGTCACCATTGAAGGTCCACACGCAACATAACTTCACCCCAAAAGCAACTCCAGCATAAATTTCATCAATCCGAGGGCTCGTGATGGCAAGTAGTTTTCCATCAGGTTTTTGGCCTGTCCTCAAAGACCATACATTAAAAGCACATATGTCCTTAATTATAAAACCCAAGTATGAAAACTCTTCCTCACAGATGATTCTCCACTTCTCTGACCAATGCATTCTCAGTGGCATCCATTCACACTCATCATCAACTCCAGAGTCAGCATTCGTACCTGCACATTTCATAGTCTCTTTCCAATGCATGAAACATGTGAATGTATGGAACCGAACGTCACATGAATTAGTCCGAGTATTAACTCTAAACAAATGCATGCACTCACAACTGTCTGTTTTACTGCTAAGCCTTCTTCTTTTACTGAATTCTCATCGTCTGTGTCAAACTTTGCTGGGCATTCTGTTCAACTACATGCACTTAAAGTTCATTGAATTCTATAAAATCAAGAACTGCTCTACTTGCCAATCAGAAGTCATGGGTGACTGGTTACACCAAATAATTAGAGTAAAATTTTACTGTACCCGAGAGGTTAACCCGATATAGTTTCAATGAAATTCTGATTACCTTTTGCAGATAATCAGGGATTGCAGCCTTGTTTGTATAGTGGCCGGATGGAGTGGTGTTAGGTTGAAGAGCCATGCTTATGAAACTGCAAGCCCGCCATAGTTGGGCAGATAATGTGTCGCAATCGTAAATCCTAGCTGCCCCATACGCGGTTGCGTGTTAGGTAGGTTTTGCATATGTCGATAGTGAGAACTTGTGCTAATGGACTCAACGTGCTTAAGTTTCGAGCTTCCTGATATAACTAGGTGTTCTCAGTCGTTTTTAATGATTGTGGCTCTAACTTTGTAGCCTACACTTGGTTTTACCTCAATCAACTGAGCGCTTCTACTCCGTGTTAGGAGTGTATGCATTGTTATAAAAGCGCAGAACTTTTATGCAAGAAATAGGTTGGGTTCATGAGCTAGGCCAAGTGACTCAGCTATGACTGTTCTGAGTAACAATTAAGGCATCAATCTAGTCCTTCTAAATTGTTATTTGCCTTCTGTCAGCAGCTCATTTATGATGCCGCCAAGCACTGGGTCAGCCATAACAGTTGTAATGCCGACGCCAAATGCATACAGAAACTAACATCAATTTAGCGATCCTCAATACAAAAAGGAACAATTAATACAACAATTCTGATGAGCTAAATACGGTTGCATAATAATGTACTTGCATATGCAGATAACACAATGCGGATACCCATGACTAAATAAAGTAAGAGATTTCCGAAAGTCAACACTTAAACGAACTAACTCAAAACTTTTGCATCATTCGCGCGCTTGCATGTGTTTATCAATTATAAGTAACTTAAAATTCCCTCACGAATCAATACCTAACTTCATACGAACCAAAAAGAGTCAAAACCATTAAAAAATACATAATATTCATACAATATTTGGTGTAAATTACCTGGCAAGAGCAGGACGTTTCCGATCAGGTTGACCTTCCTGGCTACTACTCGGATCCAAACTACGTTTTTCTCTAGCCGCCATACTATTTGATCTTTCCATATACCTTGTTTGCATTTTCTCAGAGCTCCACAAAAAATAGAAAATTTCGTTCTCGAGATCCGATCTGATTATTCTATTCGAAGATTAAACAGTGGAGCAGAAAAGGGAAAATGCCAAGCGGGAAAATTGAAAGATCGTCGAAAATAGAAAGAAGTTTCAGAGAACCATCTTTGTAGTTTCCAACTTTTCTAATTTCTATTCTGATGGCGAATTTTGTAGAAAATTTTGTAACGTATCGAGAAATTGACGGTGTAGATGGCGTGTCTCTAGCTGCACATGGTGTATTGCTCACTGTCGATCATGCAAGCGATTAGATTTGACTTTGCCCGGCTGATTGCCAAAAGCGAGTGCTTGACCCTCCTCGTGTAGCCTGATGCCACGCAAATTTGTTGTGTATATTGTCAATATTACCCTTGGTAATTTCATATAGCCCCTTTTGGTGCTGATTTTTCAAGTCAAAAAATCAATTTTTTAATATAATCGGTCATCATTTTTTACCTCTTCATTTATATGTGAGATTCACCTTTCAAGCTAATGGTTAAAAAATTAATTGTCAAAATCAATACCAAACAAGCCAATAATATGGAAAACGACATTTGTATTTGCACCGTAATTTATTAGTTCAATGGAAAATGCATAACAAACAAGGTCAATGACAGACATTTTTCAGGGAATAAAGTGGCAATTTTTGATTGACAGAGTTTTCTTTAATTTTTTTTTCACTGTTAATGAGAAAATATCGAATGTATGAATATTTCGGTCATTGATCATATCACTGTAGCAGAATTGTAATTCAATATAGTTGCTACCAGCTCAGCACACGTGCTCTCGCGATTAAATAATTAAGAATTTTATTTTCTCATTTTTTATTGTACAGAATTATGGTAGTTAGATCCAAATCTGATTTTATTGGTTAAAGTAGTTGACTAGTCCATAATACCAGCAAAAAATTTCGTTATTTAATCATGATAGATATTTAATTAAATTTATTCTTTATTGTCATGATCTCCTGCTACATATTATAATTTGAAGCTTCAATTATGAGTTTATAACTAATAATTACTTTTCCCACATTACTTTTTTAGCTCTATTACTTTAAAAAGACTTGAACATAAGTGAAGGAGAAAGTGGGCAAAATAGTTAGCAGAAATTAGAGTTGGCCTCGAGAATTCTGAGGTTCTAGACGACTAATTATCATAAGGCCTCTAAACACAAGTTTTTTATAAGCATAAAAATACTTAAACATCTAAATAAATAACATGTTTATATTTAAACGATATTCGAGCGGAATCTGTTTTGCTTGCTAATCCTAACCAGTTACATCAATGAACCAAACTCCACTTCAAACAGGATAATAATGGTCGAGTTAATGCATTATCAGGAGATTCACAAGTTAACATTCCTCAATTCCCGTGAAACTTTAATTGATAAACATGGAAGCATCTCCAATTTCAGACAAACTATGAACATGACAATATCAACAAGATTATCCAAAATTCAGATGATTTAAGGACAGGGCAGCCATGTTTCCAACATTTTCAGCTTTTTATTCACAGAAACTCTTCAACTCAAATTCAGAAGTACACAAAATATTAAAAGATTCAGGAACAAAACATCTAATCAAAAATAAATACTTGGGGGAAAAAAAAAGGGAACAATAATATAAAATGTTACATTGGCTCAATTTTCTGACATTTTTGAAAGCCTTAAACAGAATCAAGAACTTGTGTGAATAAAGGAGCCGACAGCTTTGCTTGAGGCTGCTACGTCAAGGGTTCGAATCCTGAAATATGGAGTTGGCTCTTGGGTAAGTGCAAGTATACAAGCAGCCTTCCACCCTATACCCTTGGAGGCATAACCTGCGATTTACCTCCCTCACGATACTCCAGGACAGGGGTGGTGGGGGACCCTTAAGGTTAGGGTTTATCCTTTTTCTGTTTTTTAAAGGAGCCGATCAGTTTCTCTGAAGTGAATTGATGGTAAATGCAAGACGTGTGTGTGGGAATATTGGAAAAATTGCCTTCAACTCCTTAGTTCTTGTTCATCTCATCTAACCCTAAGATAACAAACGACTTTGTGGAAATTACACCCAACCATATCTTTCATTATCCAATTTTAGAAATCAGATCTGAAGTTTGTTTATACAAAAATCAAATATTAAATCAATATTGATAATAAAATTAATTCCCAATGACCCTATGTTCCTTGACGGTCCCATCTAACTCCCTACATCTCTCTACCTCTTGTCAGCATGACAACTGCAAGCAAGCGAGGGACTAGTTGCTTTGTTGCGGTGCCTGGTTGCTATGAACTCACAATGAGAGGGCTTCTAACTCCTTATTTGTGAGTGGCGCTGAGCGGGATTTTTGTGGCTTTCGGTGAGGGGCGCGTCTACGGCAACATTCTGGCTTTGGATTTGATCTAATCTTTGCACAACCGCACATTACCAGCAGCATTCTATGTTAAGGGATAAAATCCCACATCGAATAAAGATGAAAATATAGACCAACTTATTAGGTTTTGGGCTACTCTTCTCAACAATGTTGACTTTTTAAGATAGAACTCCAAGTCTTAACATGGTATCAGAGTCCATTAAACTCTACCAAGCGATTCAATCTGATCAAAAATCAATAAATGAGCACACGAATTTTAAGATTGATTTGCTCAAACGAGCCACCATTTTGTAGGGCATGTTAAGGGATAAAATTTCACATCGAATAAAGATAAAAACATTGATCAACTTATAAGATTTTGGATTACTCCCCTTAACAACATTGACCTTTTAAGATAAAACCCAAGCCTTAACATTCTGGTTCTGGTAATGGTGATGTGATGGTGGATCTAATTTGTTGGTATTTTTTAGGCGACTGTAGAAGCAATTTTGTTGGATCTTGTTGTTGGTGTTGGTATTTTGTTAGTGTTTGGGTAGCAATTGGTATGTCTTCGATTTGGTGTTTAGGCAGCACTGTTAGATCTTGTTGGTGATAGTGGTGGCAGCATTTTTAAAGTTGAAAATGATAGTTTGTTGGAGGCAACGATGGAGGTGGTGGTAGTTATTGTTGATACAAGCAATGGTGGTAAGTGACCGGTGGCAGATTTGGGAATTTGTTTTGTGAGGGTTGTAGTTGTGGAGTTGTAGGCTGGTGGTGGTGTTTCCTTACGGTATTTGAGATGATGGTTTTGCTGCTGGAGATGGTGGTGGTGGTTCTAGCGAAATGCGGCTAGTGGTAGTGGTGAAATGGTGGTCACAAATGATTTAATTGTTTGTGACTAATAAACCGACTAATGCATGACCAATAAAATCGATAAATTGTAACCAATAAATAATATGTTACCTAAAATTTTGTTAAGTTGTGACCAATAATTTTATAAGTTGTGACTGAAAAATAACTTATTATTAATTAACTAAATATTTTGTGGCCATAAAATAAGTTGTGACTTGTAAAATTTGTGATTTATAACCTATCAATTTGATAAATTTGTGATCAATAAACAAATTGTGATTTATAATTATTTTTTTATTTCTAACCATAAAATAATTTGACCTATAAATTTTTTTATTGTGACTGGAAAATAATTTGTGATCAATTAATTCGATAAATTGTGACCAAATTGATAGAATTGTGACATTCATATATCAAAATTATAAAATATAAGTTTAATTAATTATTTTATAAATAAAATCTATTTTTTGAATTTTGAAACCTTGCTTATTAATTTTGAAATATAGGGCATACTTACTCTCTTAATTATGAATTTCTCCCATGACTTTTTAGGGATTGGAGGGTTTTGGAATGGGGTAGGTTCGTGCTGAATTTTTTTTATGGGGCCCTTGAAAACTGGAGCCCTGAGCAGTAGCCTAATTTGCCTTGGGCAAGGGTCGGCCTTGATAGAAATGATCACTTAAATATAAAAAGAAGAAGTGGAAACTTATCGATACTTTACTACAGAGCACGAGTTCAGTATTATCGTAGATGTTGAAGAAGGATAAAACATCTTGTCCATCCACCTAGTTAACAAATTCCGAGGATATATAACTAATCCCTAGTGCATGGAATCAAATTGTTTTCTTTTTCTTATAAAATATTTAAGAAATTTATATTTTAAAATTGAACCTACGAGGTTGAAATCGAATAAATGGGAAGACGTAAAATTCTAAACCATTCGTGAGACAAAATTGTCTAAAAACCTAAATCTAGTTGTTGTTAACTCATACAAAAAAATTTAAAGGGCCACATCATACTCGAGGGCCATATAACACAAATGCCCGCATCATTATGGATAATCATGACTCGCTAGAATCGCATTGATGAAATGAGGCAACAGCCTAACTCATCACAAGGGAAAAAAAGGCTATACAAGGGAATTCACCTCCAGTGAACCTTCTAAATATGGGAAATAAAACGAGCCTTATCCTCACCCTAGAAGTATAACAAATGGAGAGCCAATTTGCCTTTGAGAATGCCAAAGAAAAGGTTATCAAAGGAAGCACAAAACATGGTGCTTCACAATAGTTATCTCAAGCAAAGAAATATTATAAAATCGCATTGCCACGTAACAATAGGACCATTAATACGTAAGTCAAAATCGGTGAAAACGTGATAAGCAAAATCAAACAAGATTTAGTTGCTTGACGACGGCCTTATCAATCAATATGTGATGTCTGTAAAAGATGCTGGATTTTGAAACCCTCACCAACCTATTAGTGATACGTGTTTAGAGCTGGATAACGGTCTTTAGATCTCTTTGGCGTGGCTGTCCAATAAGCATTACTATCACGGATTTTCTTAACACTACCACTAATAATCTCCAACCCATCCTTCACAATAAGATTTAATATCTGTGCACAACATCTCGTATAGAAAAATCCACCATTCAATACAAGATAATAAGTGCAAAGCTGACTTAACACAATATTGATCATAGCATCATTCGTGGTGCAATTGTCTACGGTCAAATATTCAGCTAAACTATCAAATGTTGATGCAACAAATCAATTGATTCATAATTAAACCACAAATGATCCATAAGATCAATTACTATATTGCGGAAACCACAAATAAATTACAGAACAAGTCCGTAAATGGCGAAAACGGTACTAAAAAGGAAAAAATTCAGCTTATCTGTTCTTCTTCCTATTAAACCTTGAAATTGAAGATTTAAATTTTTGGGAGTGGTTGAACTGTAGGGAGATGGCAAAGGGTTTTTGATTTTGCAACAATCTTGAATTGTGAAGATTGAAGAGTCGGGGGAAAAATCTCAGTGTTGTGAGTGGGCTTGTATACAAAGACTAAGGCCCAATCGATTCAATAATAAATGGGCTAGTGGGTCAGTGAGAAAATCGGTAGTTCAATGGATTTTTAACGGGTGAATTGTTCATAAATAAAATTAATTTTAATTTTTTTTATTCTTCACCTGCATTAATCCAATACTCTATACCCAAATTCATTAGCTCAATTTTCCAACTACTGTAAAATATATTGAATTTTTTTTTTTTTAACAAAACTCATGTTTGGTTTAGTTGAAAATTAAATTTTTAATAGATTTTGATAAAAGTTAAAAAAATTGATAAAAATTGTGAATCATATAAAATATGTATAATAGAAAATGAATCTAAAAAGAAATAAGTTTAGAAAATAGCCAAACATGGGGAAAATATAAATAAGACACTAAACGAGACGCCTCGCTCCCCAACCCGAGTGGGGCTGTTGCCATCCCTACATAGATTGATGGATTGACTTCTCAAAAGTGCTACTAAGCCCTTGTTTGAGCTCCATTATAGAGAAATAATATATTTTGAAATAGTAAATTGATAGAGAATTTGTGGTTGAAAATTGAGGAAAAGTTCTAGGTTTGCATATAACATTATTTTATTGAAAAATGTGTGGTTGAAAATAAGTTTTGAAAGAATGAATTTTAGAAAAAATGGGGCTCAAACAAAGGCTAAATAACTTAGCATTCAAATATCTTAATACGGGCTCTCTTTAGCCTCAATTTTATCTTTGTTGAGAATCTTTATTTAATTTTTTTTTTAAATCATATTTCGAAGGTCGCATGGGTGGATATCAGGATATGGGGATGGCTGCACTGGACTACACTGGTGCCACCCAAGCCCTTCTGCATAATAATAATAATAATAATAATAATAATAATAATAATAATAATAATAATAATAATAATAATAATAATTCATAGCCTAACAATAAACAACAACACAACACAATTTTCATAGCCCACCGACACACGACATCCCAATTTCACCAGTCCATCCCAACATTAAAACCAAAATTTTGTTTCAATTTCTTATACCAAACTCAAAAACCCATTTATTTCATCTTTTCTTCTTTATTATCCATCCATCATTACAATTTTGATAGCAAAATGATTATCCTTTTTCTAACTGATTTATTTATTTTATTTCTCTTCTTTATAATGTTGCTTTTTATAATTCATTCCATTATTTCATCTGCATTTGTCTTTATATTTAATAAAGAATGTTAGAATGTAACCGTCATTGAAGAAGAAAAGTAATAACGAGGAATGATTAGAAATTTTTCCTGAATTCTTTTAGAACACAAAGTTTTCATGATGTTGATTATACAATCTATGAATCTAATGAACGGACTAAAGTTTTTATGGTTTTTGAATTTCACACACTGCTTGCAATTTTCTTTTGTACTGGTTTGTAATAGTTGTTGTTGTCGCTCCAATGTCACACTCAACTTATGCTACCATAAACTACACGCTGACATGCACTTCGCTTAGCTTGGCCTTTTAGCACGTTGAGTTCCATTTTATATTGGAGTATGGTTGACTTATGATTCATTGGATCTCTTGTTGGATTATTGACTGATTATAATATTGTTAAATAGTTAGATAAGCAGTTGAATTGTTGCTAGTGAATTATTTTTCAATTGTAGGTATTTAAGTGTTTTGATTTTTATGCATCTTTAAAATGGAAGACAATGAAAAATGTGAAGACGACAACTGATAATAAAATGGATGATGATTTCATGTTAATTGTATGACACTATATATCGAAAGTGAATTTATTATGACATTAGATGTTGATTCTATTATAGATGAATTTTATGTTGTAAAATCCACTCGGACACTATTTTAATAGATAATGTTATGTTTATGTCTTTTTTGGTTATGTGTGAATTTATTTGAATGTTAACTTTTAAAATAAAAAATTGCCCTCGCAACTAGGGGGAAGTTATGGGACAAATAATAATAATAATAATAATAATTATTATTATTATTATTATTATTACTACTGAGTTGATACATTGAAAAAAAAAATCCACCAAAAAAATGAATTTTCATCAAAAAATTATATTTTTCCTCTTCAAACCCTCCCTTTGCCCCTACCCACAACATAAAACCCGACTCTGCCATTTGGACAGTTGTTAAGTATCATGGCGAACATCACTCTAGCTAATTTTTTTGTGTCCCTTTTAGTGGAGCTAAAAAATTAGATTTTTAATAGATTTTGATAAAATATAATGTGGACCTACAAAATAGGTAACTATTTGTTTTGAAAAATAAATTAAATTTTTGAAATTTTTTTAAATACGCTTTTGTATGAATAACGCCATTTTTAAATCTTTCTTATTTATCAATTATTCATGTGTGTGTATTAATGTAATATTCTTCCATAATTAAAATACATTCCAAATTATGTGAGTCCCATTCTTTGAAAAAAAAATTGCATTCTTAAACATTATTTTGACATTATTTCAATCACGCATTTTTAATAAAATAGTACTCCACGTAAATTCAAAATTTTTTCTTATTTTTAACGACATATTTTCCATCAATACACTATTTAAAATGCATTTTCCCCCTAAAATGGGGCTCAACCAAGGGCTGCAAGCAGAGCGGACCGGGCGGGGCATATAAGGTCAATTGACCCCCCCAGTTTTTGATTTTTTTTTGAATGTCAATGTTTAAAACTTACACGATAAATATATAATGCAACAGATGGCTCCAAACTCAGTTTTGTATCTTTGTCTCTCTTCCAATATATCGACTGCGAACGCCACTATCATTTACAATTTATCTATCGTTTGAAAGTTTGATTACGACCCTCTAACACAACATGTCTAAGTCCGCCCTTTGTTACAAGAGGATGTGATAGTTATTTTACTATGCCAAGCAATGGAAAGTTTTCCAAGTACTCTTCATAGAATCTTACAGCGCAGCACATGATTAGTAGGTTTTTGTTTATATTCTTGCCAACTATCGATGAAATTGTGCCAATTGTCCAATTCTATGAAATTTGCTATGTACTACGGCCAATTTGAATAGAATAAGGAGCGTTTGAGCCCCTTTAATTTTGAAAAATGTGTTATGAAATAGCGATTGATGTAGAGTGTATGGTTAAAAAAAATGAAGATTTTTTATTTACGTGTAATATTATTTAATAAAGAATGTGTGATTGAAAATGAGTATTGTAGAAAAAATAATGTAATAGAATGTAAAATAATAGATGACAATTAGGGCTATTGAGAAATCCACGTGGTGATCCTCCATAATCAACCGTTTTCGCCACGTGTCGACCAATAAAAGTTTTCACCACGTGTTAACGCAATAGACTTTCTCTCTCCTACTCTTGTTTCATTTGTCTATCCGATATCATCTGGAGTAATAAACACACAGTCGTAACTCGTAATTAGTGCATTGCTGTGTTGATTTGATTTGTAAATTCATGAACATTAGGGCTGCAGTGGATCCCTTGGTGACGGCGAAAGTGATCGGAGATGTGATTGATAAGTTCGTTCCGGCTGCCGAGTTGACTGTGCAATATGAATCAACGCCTGAGGCTAACGGTTGCGATATCAATCCATCGTCGGCTGTCAGAAAACCTCACGTTCATATCAGTGGTTCTCGTGGCTCTCCTAATTATACTCTTGTAATTCCACAATTGTTACAAACTAAATTAAAAAGTTCATTCTGCGTGTTAATTGAATCTAACCTGACTTGGATTGACTATTTTTAGGTAATCGTTGATCCCGATGCTCGAAGACCGAGTGAACCAACTTTCAGAGAGGGGCTCCACTGGTAAATATTACTAGTAGCATTGCCTATTAAACCTTTCTATTGAAGTAAAGTAGATCAAATCCCTATAAGTTGGTAAATATTTTTAGCATATAACGATGTGAGATTTAATTGCTTAACGTAGATCAAGTCCTTATAAATTGGTTTATATTTTCATCGGATAATGATGTGAGATTTTATTGCTTAACATGTCTCGTAAGATGGTGGCTCGTTTGAGCAGACCAATCTTGTAAACGTGTGTTCGTTGTTGAGACTTAATCAGATCGGATTGCTCATTAGAGTTTAATGAACTCTAATACCATATTAAAACTTGAGATTTTATCTCAAAAGGTTTTTTGTGTGCCGGGTAGCGCGCGTTTAGATTCGTCGCGTGATTGTCCAGGCGAGGTAGGAGATCTATACGAACAAAGCATTTCTCTTTCTGGCTGTTTTCATGTATCAAATCCAATGTCCTTTTCTTTCTATGAGAAAAAGAAGTGTGGAGGAGAAGCAGCCGAGCTCTTTCTCTTCGCTTCTTGGGCAAAAGAAAAAAGCAATGCGTAGTCACATCTGTTGGATCAACATCCGACTTGAAAGAATGTTCGGCAAGGGTTTGTAGAACGAAGGGAGTGTACAATTGGAGCGCGGCCCCAACAATCAACTTTCCACTTTTGATGTCCCACGATTATGCGAGTTTAGAAACTAAGGAGAAGGACAGGGGTCACCGCTCCGTAGGCATATAACATTTTTAGTTGGAGTTGTTCAAGTCTTTATTTATCTTTATTCGATGCGAAATTTTATCCTTAACACTATTTATGGGAAAAAAAGTAGAAATCTTATGTTTCCTTTGTTTCTTTTGGCGAGCACAAAATGCACTCACACTGTCACATAATGAAAATGCTGCTGTCATGGCCACAAATAATGCTTAGCCATCACTTTTATGCAATGCAAACTGTGGTTGCCTATGAATTTCTACTTGCCATTTCTTTCATAAGCTAATTCTTATAAAAGTTTAATGTAGAGAGACGAAACACGTTATCTATGTCCCCGAAGTCTTGTCCCCCTTTTTTCTTTTCTCATACGAATTTCAATAAACGAAAATTTTAATGGATATATATTTATTTAAATTAAGACACCGTTTGCAAATTTTATATATCTTTTATAAAAAGAAATAATATAAAGTCACGGATATTCACACATTTTCGATTGAATTTAAAACAATTTATAAATTGTGTATCCAAATGGAGGGTTAGGCTAAAACATGATTTCTTGATTTTGATTCTTGCAGGATGGTCATAAATATTCCAGAGGGAGCTGATGCGAGTGAAGGTTATGTTAGACTCTACTATTTTGTTATTTAGACCCAGTTTGACAAAACTTCTGTGTGGTTGAAAAATGGATAAAATTGTGATCCAATAAAATATATTGTTGTAATTAAAGTTTGATCAACTTATAATCTCAAATAAATTTTGTCAAGGTCTATACCGACCTTGATATCATAAAAAATATTTAATATTTGGATTTGGATTATTATTGCAGGCAAAGAGCTGATGCCATACATGGGACCTCAACCACCATCAGGCATTCACCGATGCGTATTTGTGGCTTTCAAGCAGAAAGGTGTACTGGAAATTGTGAAAACCCGGCCAGTTGAGCGTCAAAACTTCATCACTCGTAAGTTCACTGGCGAGAATGAGCTTGGACTACCGGCAACTGCATTGTATTTCAACTCGCAAAGCAACCAAAAAAGTAAGAAAAAATAGATGACGAAGGTGTTCTGGTGAATTTTAAGATATAGACGTTTGTGTTGTTATATGTTTTCTTTTTCCTTAAAGAAGAGTAGCTAGCTTGGTTTAGCAGAATAATTTAATTATGATATTATGAGATGTAACTGTGATGTTTTAAATATTACAATTATGCTACACAAGCCGGCTCAAAGACAGGCTAAAAAATAGGGGAACACATGTCGACATAGGATTTGACAATTTGAAAAAAAAAAGAAAAAAAAAAGAAACAAACATCCAACCACATGCTATCAAGTCAGTTTGTCCCACTTTTGCCTGTTTCTGAACTTGTTCAACCATCATTATTCTAAATATTATGGGAAACGCTTACCATGCAAGCACAAGAGAAAGGCTTTCATCACTTGAGCCTTAGGTGTATGCAGGAAACTTGCACTTTGCCTTCTTAAGAAGAAGGGTTTACCTGGTAGGCCCGACAACGGATATTTAGAACTCAAATGTCAATATTTACTCTCTCACAATATCCATTTTTTGAGAGTCGTTGAATAATGTTTTGTCTGTTGGGTCATGACTTTAAGAGTATTCAAATAATGTTTTTTTTCCCCATTACATATTCGACTCCGATGAACAACCTTTTTGCGTGTTCATGGTGGGAGTTGCGTCTCATGGTTTATCCCAGAGGAATTCTTTTCCATTGCTTTACATGAAGGCGAAGAAAGGAGTGGCCTACCTATTTGACTCCTATGAACAACTTAAGGGTATCTATGGTGTGCGTCGTGTGATAATGTTTTTCTAGTGGGTCATGGCTTTATGGGTATTAATGAAATCGAGTATTTGTTTCTTTAGTATGAAGAAGAGGATGGGAGTCGCTACCTATTTGACTCCATACTTTTAGATATTCATGGCTCAAGTTGTGGAATAATGTTTTAGCCGTGGGTCAATTGAGATTGTGATAAATTTTAAAAATCCTTCAAAATTTAGGTGTCCTCAATTGAGATTAGGTGTCCACAATTGAAATTTTAAGGAAATTCATTGAAATCCTTTGAAATTTAGGTATCCTCAATAATTAGTGAATTTATAAAGATTTCATTAATAGAGGAATTTTAGAAGTTTTGGATTGATTTCAAGCTTAAAAATACGTAGAGCCAAATCTTTTGAAATTGCTATATTTGATGAGATTCTTATGAAATCTATGGAAATTTATTAAAATCCATGAAATTCATTAGAATTTATAATCTTTTAAAATTCATCAACATCTTAGTTGAAGATACTCCGAAAGTTTTTCTTTCTTTAGTATGAAGAATAGGAAGGCAATTGCCTACCTATTTGATTCTGATTAACAACTTTTGGATACTTGTGATGTATGTTGTCTGCTAATGTTCTTTCCGTGGGTCATGGCTTTAAGCATATTAATGAAATAGCATTTTTCCTTTTTTAGTAAGAAGACGAGCAATGGTATTGTCTACCTGTTTGATTCCAATTAATGACCTCGAAATTTTCAAAAGATGAGTCGTGTGACCATGTTTTGCTTGATGGATGTGGCTTTAACGATATCCATGAAATTGCATTTCTTTTTCGTTAGTAAGAAGAAGATGATGAAAAGGAATGGATTCACGTACCTATTTGCTTCCAATGAACAATGTATTGGTATTTGTGGTGATAGTCACGTGACAAATTTTTTTTTTGTGGGTCACGTCTTTAAGGGTATTCACTAAGTTGTGTTTTTGTTTCTTTTCTTTAGTATTAGTCGTTGTCACGTGCGTTGCACGAATTTTGTATTTATCATATTTTTATTAGCGTATGAATTTTAATTTTTTTGAAAGTTTTTGAAGTAATATTTAGAAATATTTTCATGATATAAGAAAATGATTGCAAATTATTTTTACAATTGCAACAGTATTGTGTTATCTGAAAAAATATGCTTGTATTTTCATACTTAAATAAGAAATATATGAGGTTATACAAATTATTTTGCTTGCATTCTTTGATAGTGTTGATATGATTGAATTGAATGTGAAGATTATATTTCTAAATTTTGTGTAATTCAATATTGAAAAATTGAAGATTAAGCATAAAATTATGAATCGACTTGCATATTCTTATGCGTTTTATATTTTGTCCTTCATATATTTTAATATTTATTTTATGCTTATGTTGAAAAAATAAAAATCTAAATTTTTTTTTGATATTCGGTTTGGTAAGTGAATGTATGGTGTTCTGCATTCTCGATATTTGTAAGTGCAAAAATCAGTATATACGGTAAGCTGCAATAAGGTAGGTAGCATATACGGTAAGTTGCCTACAAATACGGTAGGCTATATATACGGTAAGCTGCAAATACGGTAGACAGCATATACGGTATTGAAATTTGTTATAGTGGACGAAACCGGATTCATTCATACCCTATATGCACTTTACATATTATATATGCAACATACCGTATTTACGCATACTGTATTTGTAGCTTACCATATATGTAGCATATCGTATTTATAGCATACCATATTTGTATCAGACCGTATTTGCAGCATACTGTATTTGCATCATACCGTATTTACAGCACACCGTATATGCAGCACACCGTATTTAAAACATACCATATTTGCACATATTGTCTTTAGATACCGTATTTGGTAGATATTGGTTTTATAATTCAATATTGTTTTCTTTTTTATAATTTTATTTCGGGGAATTTTTTTGAAAAAAAAAGTGATTATGAAATTGCTAATTTTTAAATGTGTTTTTTGTTGAAGATAAAAATGATTTTTTTATGCTATTCGTAAAAAAAAAAATTATAGTAATTTTATTATCGTAATAAGAAGATTTACTACGATTATTTTAAAAAAAATTCACAACACAATAAATCCATACTTTTAACCTGGTGACTGCAAAAGTCTTTTGTGTATCAATAAAACATTTCCCATTCAAACAATAATGCCAAATTTCTTAGCATCATGCTTTCATTTTCTTCTTTTCACAAATTTTAGTTTTTTCGTTTTTGTCTTCTTCATTTTTCTAGATTCTTTTGATGTTAGCAATGATTATTTCTTTGAGATTTTTTTGTATTATATTGAAATTAAACTTATTCTTGTAATTATATTTTTTATTAGATTTAATGCATATTTTTAACTAATAAAATAACAAACTAAACAAATATTAGATTGCATGATTAAATTTTAAAAAAAATAAAAAGTCGCTGCATAACTGCACAGATTGTATTATAGCATATTCGGTAAGCTATATGTTGTAATATGCATATTGCTGTAATATAACAAAAAAAAATTGTGCAGCAATAATTTCTCATTATATTATGCTAAACATTGTATTATAACATATACGTATAGTATGTTATATCTTAACTATAACATATAGTATTATAGCATACCGTATTTGCACATATTGTCTTTAGACTAATCACCAACATTTGTTATAAATAAATCCAAGTCCCATGTAATGTAGATTTAATTCATATTAATTTGCACAATTGTATTTCTAGTATAGACATTGCAGTGGTTTAATTTGCTCTAGAATAACTTCAAAGTTATTTTGCATCGACATAAGAAATTTCAAATGTATAATATGTGCCACTGCATAATTATAAATCGACTTGCATATTCATATGCGTTTTATATTTTGTCCTTCATATATTTTAATATTTATTTTATATCTGAAATTTTTTTCTGACATTCGGTTTGATAAGTGAATGTAGGGTGTTCTGCACTCTCAGTATTTGTAAGTGCAAAAATCGGTATATACGGTAAGCTGCACATATAGTAGGTAGCATATACGGTATTGAAATTTATCGTAGTGGACGAAATCAGATTCATTCATACCGTATATGCATTATATATACCGTATATGCAACATACCGTATTTACAGCTTACCGTATATGCAGCATACTGTATTTGCATCATACCGTATATGCAGCACACCGTATTTACAGCATACCGTATTTGCATCATATAGTATTACAGCATACTGTATTTGCATTATACCGTATATGCAGCACACCGTATTTACAGCATACCGTATACCGTATTTACAGCATATATTTGTATCATACCATATATACAGTATACCGTATTTACAGCATACCGTATTTGCACATATTGTCTTTAGATACCGTATTTGGCGGATATTGGTTTTTGTAATTCAATATTGTTTTCTTTTTTATAATTGTATTTTTGGGAATTAAAAAAAAAGTGATTATGAAATTGCTAATTTTTAAATGTGTTTTTTTGTTGAAAATAGAAATGATTTTTTATGTTATTTGTAAAAAAAAAAAAAATTTGTAAATTTTTTTTTTTTACTTCTCACTGTACAGAGAGTTTGCCAAATCTGCACACATAGTTTGCCATCTTTCCGCATTGTGCGGAGATGAGTTTTTTTTTCCTTTTTTTATTTGCTCATGGGTGTTTATATTTACTAAAATTATTATTATTTTTTTAATGCTAGTGACATGATGTATGAAAGAACATTTGTTTGACATAAACAAAATGGAAAATAAAAAATGACATCATGCATAGTAAAATTGGATTAATTTACTATTGCATCAATAGTAGATCCTCCTTTCCCTTTTTATAAGAAGTTTTATATATATATATATAAACAAAAAAAAAGAAGAGTCCGTGCACGGAGGCCCAAAAAAAAGGACAAAAAAAATCAATGCACTCTATACACGGGCGTAGTTTTTTCTCCCCACTTGGAAAAAATTAAAATTTTATATAATTTTAAAAAATACAAAATTAAAAAATTAAAAAAAATTTACAAAAAAGTATATAAATATTATTTTGTTAAAATTGAAAAATTAAGCTTTACTTAAAAGAGAAAAGAATAAAAAAGAAATTTAAATAAATTGATAAAAAGAATAATTACTTATAATAAAAAAAAAAATATAAACTTTGTCATGGAGACATTTTCCTCCGTGCACGGAGGCATTTATTCAGCTAAGTTTTTTTTCCTTTTCCCCTCCTTGCACGGAGACGCTGTCTCCATGCATGGAGACTAACCCATGCAGTTATAAATTGAAAGAAAATATCCACATATACAAACATTTAAATAATAAACTCAGGTTCGCACGTAAAATAACTTGAAGTGGCACTTACTGGATGACCAACTCCCTTGTTTGTGTAAGAATTAGAACCCTAACAGCAGGCCTATTTT